TTGACCACTTGTACGGATCGGTCAGTGCGAGACTCGTCGTCTCTGAAATTAGAATCCAGGACTGCTCAGCTCGAACCAGGTCCTCGGATGCTGATTGTCAATCGGTCAATAGGAAAACGGTTTTTAATATCCAGGCGGAACGAAATGGAATGTTGTGACACGCATGTCTGCATGAGGCTTAAACTTTGAGCCCATATCATGGTTTGCGTTTGCGTTTCACAGCGTCTAACCATTGGCCAAGTGCCGTGTCAGAATAAACTCATGTTTAATCAAAAGTAAATATCCGCCATCATCCCCCGGGATAAAGTCTAACAGCAACGGGCGCGTGGGAATAACGTGTGTGGTGAACTATCATGTCCCATTTAGTTCAATGGCAGGGAATTTGTGTTTTGAGACTTGAAATGTTGCAACAATTGCCTGATGATAATCCACTCCATACCGACTTTGTTCAATAATGGAGCAGTATACTGCATCGTATCGCCATGTGCGACGCAACGTAACGCAAGAACGCAATGCAAGAAGCTACAACAATGTTTTACTGGCAGGTTGACAGTCGGGCCAACAACTTCAAGTTCTCAATACGGCAGCTGGTGACCGCTAAATACTACCGCAGCCACAGTGCCGCAACATGACAGTTTTTACTTGGTTTCTCGTTGCATGGCATGGTATTGCCACCAGTTGTTGTTGGTTTGGCTGCATCAGAGCCTGGCCACGAACGGCACGGCTACAGTAGCAGCAGCAGCTACAGGGCACCCATTAGCCAAAGCATGGTACCAAGCAGTTGGAATAGGGAAATACCACGGAGGTTGAACCTTGTTGGGACCGACACTGTGCTCTGCTGTGATGTCGGCAGGGGTGTGATTCAGGTTAGATCCCCTGCGGGCATCGTGGCCGCACACCATCGCACACCCCAGCCCGGCCGGCCAGCCAGCCAGAAGCCAGTCCAGGACGTGGGTTTTCTCTGCCTCTGACGGCAACAGAAGAAAAGCAATGGGCAAGCGCAAAAGGACCTACCCAGAATATATCGCGCCTTTCCCTTCCCGTCTAGATGCGTGGCATGGCATGTCGCGTCGTGTCTTGGATTGCCTCCTGAAAGGGTCAAGTCTTTCTAGTTTGTCCTTCAATAAAACCTGGGCTACCGATATTCAGCGGCCGACTCCTTCTTATGCCATTCACCCAATAGGTGCAGACAGAAGGCCCCCCCTCCCGCACCGCAGTGTCGGGTCCCTTTCTGAGATGTTCCATCCTAGGTAGGTGTTGACCAAGAATGGGACGGACAACCACCTTACGTAGTGGAATCCATATTAAGATCCAGGTACATTACCTCATGAGATATCCTGCGACCAACAGCCAATTATTCACACCTTCCCCGGCTTGAACTGCTACCGTTTTCCGCTGTCGCTCCCATCTCGCTATCTCAACTCCGTATCTCTACCCTCCTCCCCCAGACACCTGTTCCCGTACGGGGGTTCCATGTTCCTTGTAGCAAACTCGTACGGGTGATTGGGTCTTTGCAGTCCTGGACATGCCTTCTATTCGTTGGCCTTCTTTCTGCAGAATTGTAGCGCCGGGCCGCTAAGTTGGTTAGTACCTAAGCTGGGTCCACTACTACCACCAGGCTGGCTCAATGTGCACTGTAGTGTACTGTAGCGCCATCCACCCCATCCTGTCCCAGTTAACAACCGCCAGACTAAGTATAGTTCGCCCGCCCTCGCCCATCATCCATCTTTCGACCAACTCTCTTTCCCTCTTCTTTCTTCCTACTACTACGCTCCCGTCCCGTCCCCTTTTAAATTCATTAAAACTGATCCAACCATTTGTGTTTCTCGTCGCAGATCCACTGCGTCATGAGACCCCTATAAACTCTGGACTCGATATATTTATGGACCATTTTTACGATACTAATTAGCTTGACCTTCCTCCAAAGGGACTGTCGCTCTATCTGTCATTCGACACATCCCATCTGTGCTACTACTTTCGGTCTTTCCGGCTGTAGAAGAAACACTACCAGCTTTTTTCACCAAGCATTGCAAACACAATCTAGTCATTCATCCATTGAATACTTTACACTTACTCTAAGACAATATCGAGGGGAACAGATAGATTGCCTGTTTCCAACTCAATTATCTTATATCATCAACCATTAACAAGGACCAACCAATCGATCAAGATGAGCTCTGCGTCACAGCCCGGGCCTTCTTCGCCCAGAGAAGAGAAGAAAGAGAAGGGTTTCAGCAAGCTCCTGAATCGTACCAAGACCTTCCTCAAGAGGGAGGGCTCTTCAACCTCGTCTAAGCGCCAGTCGACTCTCGGTACATCTCAGCCAGCTGCCCCGACCAAGGCGGAAGAGACTCCCAAGACGAGGTACGATTATCTATGAAAAAGTGTTTTTGACAGATGAGAGAAGATAGTAGCTAGATTCATATCTCTCTTGACTTCAACAATTCAAACTTGATATGCATGGTCACTAACAAACTCATAGCCAAGCTCCTGTACCTGAGGGCAAGAAAACTGACGCCAAGGCCAAATATGAAGGCTTGGAAGGCGTTTCCAAGTTGACGAGGAGTCAACTGATTGAGGAGCGTGCTAAGAAACTCAGCGAGCGTTACGGACTTGATATCAACGTTTCCGAACTCCAGGCTGGGTCTCCCGATGACACCGTTCTCCGCATTGACAAGCCGATTCGTATGCGCGTACGACGAACCTGTCACAAGTGCGATACAACCTTTTCTTCCGCCAAGGAGTGCCCCAGCTGCCAGCATGCTCGTTGCACCAAGTGTACCCGCTACCCTCCCAAGCGAAGCGAGGCCGAGATCATTGCCAGCCGTGAACGACGTGCCGCCATCATCAAAGCCAACAAGGAGAACGCACCCATCATTCCCGACTACTCTTACGCTTTTGACGAGAAGAAGATCGTCCTTACCCGACCCAGCAAGACCGGTGGCCAGGACTTGGTTCATAAGAAGCCTCGTCAGCGTGTGCGAAGAACCTGCCACGAATGTTCGACCCTCTTCATCTCCGGTAACAAGACATGTGCGAAGTGCGGCCACGTTCGCTGCACCGACTGCCCTCGAGACCCGTAAGTTTCCCCACGGACACACACACATTAGCCTCCCAACTAACAAATTGCCAGGCCCAAGAAGGACAAGTACCCATACGGTTATCCTGGAGATGAATTCGGTCCTAACAGTGTGCCACACTACCAATGCAAGGAATGCAAGACAATATTCCCAACTGGCGCCGAAAATGGAACACCATGCACAAAGTGCGGCTGCGAGAAAACAGACGAATCGCCTCGTGTTAAACCTCGCAAGGTCGAACCTGAACCAGACCCTGAGGTATTGAAGAGTTTACAGGCACGACTGGAGAATTTAAAAGTGACATAGCCGGCATAAGCGAACAGGCGCCCTCTTTGCCGGGCGTCAGGGGTTGAAGAGTGGGGGTCATTTTCCTATCATTTCATACACATACACACAACAACACATACGACGACATTCCGAAGCGAGCGAGGGACGATTACTGGGAGATTTATCACCTATTTTGCATGCGCCAAAAGATCGCCCACTATTTCTTCCCGCCAGCAGTCTATTTACCTATACCTCGATCATATGTTGCACGGTTCATCCATTCTTGGCCACGGCACACAACAACATCCGACACGAGCCCTCTTGGTTTTTTTACGAGATAGAGGTGGCAGTTTCATATCAGCCGACGCATACGACATCACGATCTGGATCTTTCAAGCGTACTCCATGATTTTGCATTCTCAGCCATCAGTCATTTACATGCATTTACGAACAAAGAGTTATGATTCAGGGGAGTAGGGTGATGTACAGAGTTGGGGGAGATGCGGGTTGATTTCTAGAGAGGTGTTGAGGGAAGACTTGTGTCTCGTTAACCAAATACGCATTCCCTCTGTGGACCGTGGCTCTGCGAGGATGGATACCGCAACGGATAGGCTACACAGTCAATGTATTCTGGCGGCAGCGAGGAATCGTTGTTCTTTCCATTCTCTTGGTTAACTCAAGTTCTTGGGGCCTGTTTGCGAGTGTATCACTCACTCGTATTATATCAATGAAAAAGATGTCAATCCTTCTTTATTTACACAATACACGGAAGCACTCACACAGTGAACTTGAACATGCGTGTATATTTTGCATTGCACTATAGGTACAAACCAGTCTAACTATAAAAGCCGGTCTTATGTAAAAACTCCGTTCCAAACCCAAATACTCTCACTTCATTCCTCCTCTTCCTCACGCCATACATGGCGTCACCATCCACATCCACGTCATTTGGCTCTGCGGTTTGGGACAAGTAAATCTTTAGCTTGAGGATACCAGTAGCCTGTGGGAGACAGTTTTGGTTCTATTAGAAGTCGTATCGCCTGAGTTGTTTCTGTCTCTGCACATTGATTCAGATAGTAGTCAGGCTTTCTGCTGTAACGAACACTCGACGAGAAATGGACTCAGAAGCAAACTCATGCGTGTCTATATGCGCCTATTCGGATACAAGGCCACTGTTGTTGTTAAACCTTCTGTGTTTTATGTGGTTAGTCGTGCTACCGCAACATGCGCAAATGGACGAGGATGTTGCACTTGTGTCGGGAGCCATTGGCGGGGATTGTGTCGTAGCCCGATGCTTGCTGTGTAGCGGTGTACGTTGTACGGGCACAGCAAACGAAGGGCGACGGTGATATTGTGAGGAGAATCTGATAGTTCCGGGATATCGGGACGACAAGAGAGGGGGTGATGAGGCGTATGCATATCCCGGGAGTACCATACAGGGGATAGTGGAAGGTTCCTCAGTGTTTGTCTTCATGGTGGTCATGGATCTAGAAATTGAGTAGTCACCGATAGTGTTATTACTGCCGATCCTTGTGGATGTCTTTATTGAATGTTTCTATATACGGATACTAAACTGATCATTATCCCGTACTGATTGCTCCCTCGGCACATGTGATTTCCTACGTGCGGCGAATGCACGGCACATACGCAGTCTTATTCAACCGGCTGGTCCCCTTCTCTAATGAACGACTCCAGGTTGATCCTAGCTGTGTGGATCACAGAAGCCCCAAGAGTATCGATTCGGTTGATCTTCCGACCAAGATATCTCCCCACACCATCCATACGGTTGTTGAGATGGGCGTATTGGTCATCGACTCGGCGCTGCGCGACCGAGCTCTGGAATTCAGCCGGGTTAAGAATTGGCATGAGACGATGAGTTGGGTAGAATCGACCTCTAATCGACTGCTCCTTGAACACAACGTTCTCCTTGACTATTGCATAACACCATCGTTGCGCCCCGACTGAGCGACGCCATTGGCTCTCGCTGCGCAACGCAAGGGGAAGGTATTCATCCCGGACGATGTTTGGGTGATCTTCGGGCACGAGCTGGTAAATGTGACCGCGGAAGAAGACGGCGCCAGGCATTTCTTTAGTAATGAAGATGAACCGTAGACCCAAAACGCCCGTTTCGGCGGGGACGTTGAGTTCGGCCGGCAGCGATTTAAGCCGCATCGCATCGCCAATCTCGACCCGCTCTGCTCCAAAGAAACAGCCATAGTAAAAGGCTGTCTTGTTTTTCGGGTCTTCGGAGAGTTTGGACCAAAGTGAGTAAGAATAATCAATCTTGACAGCTGCCATCTTGGAGGCATCAAGTGCGATCACCTCGCGTCGATTCCCATCGACTGCACTCTGGAATAGCGACTCCCATGGAACACCATCATAGTTCTTGTCTTTCAACTCGGGCAAGGTGACTGGCGGCACTGTGAAGGCATAAAAAGGCCGCATATCTCCGTCGGCCTTTGTCACGTTGTTTTGCTGAACGATACCGTGTCCAATTGGCATGACCTCGTGTTGGCCGTTGGAAGAAGATGCAATAACTCCAAGACGCCATGTATTGCCGTTTTGATACCACACAAGCTCTCCAGATCGAAACAAGACTGTCGATTTGAGAGCCCATTGTATAGGCTGAGGTGGCACTTGAGCGAGATTTGGGGGCTGTTGTTGGATCTGCTGCTGCTGTATTTGTGGTGGTGGTTGGTGGTGGTGCTGGGGTTGGGGCGCTGGCTGCAATTGTGGTTGCAGTTGCGGTGATGGCTGGATGGCCTGTTCTTGAGGTCGGATCTGAGGTGGCTGCTGAACTTGTTGTACAGAAGTTGTAGCAGCAGATACTGGCGTAGGCGCCGGAGAGTTTTTTGCCGTAGCAGCTGGTGTAGACTGTGCGGATGCCGAATGAGGCACAACATTGCCGGGCATAGTGCCGGGCTTCTGAGATGCCTGTCCAGGCATTGGAGGTAGGGGAACAGGTGTGACTCTGTGTGGCATCTTGTCACCCTTGGGAGGTTCGTGGGTGATGATCAGGCCTTCATCCGAAGTGCCTCCCTTGGTTATGCTGGCGGCATTGCAGTGCGCACAGCAACAATCCCGATAATCCATTGACGTTGATAGCAGCCATATCAAATGGACAGCGAACTCCTGTGGACTCTTGAAAAGCTTGACCTTGATTGGGTACCCAGAAACCCAGAGATGCTTTGATTTCTCGTAGAGCCAGTATCCTCGAGGAAAATTCACCAGCCACGGATTTCCCTCTAGGTTGCAGTTAGACATAAGTTGAGATAAATGGCCCTGGAAGGGTCTACTTACCATCAGGATTCGGACACAGCTCTTGCTTGAGAAGGATACCTAGTTTGACTTTCCACTCAGTGAACCTTGGATCATCTTCTGCCAGTCGAACCATTTGAGGCTTGGTCCTTGGTGCCTTCTCGGCAGCTGCTGCATCTTTTGTCTTTTTCGTCGTAGTCGTCGCAGTTGATGTCGTGACAGGCCAGTAGCCGGGTCCAGTATCTGAACCATCGCTTCTGACCACACGAATGACATCAAATTCCTTCAAATCCGTCACGTTCATCGCCATTTTTTCTCCAGTAATGTGAACTATCCAAAATGGTTGATACTGTTCGATACTAGGCAAGCGGTACTATGCTCTCCTGAGGGTTCTGTGAGGCTAGCAGCCACGAATAGTTGTCCTATCTGCTCTCTAGCATTGAGTGAATAGGTTCAGTTTTCCAGTTTCCGGTTTGCAACGGGCAATCGTTTGACCTGTGTGTATTGTTGGGGGACGGGTTATTGGTGAATCGCAATCTTTGATGAAAAGCTCATGCATTCAGGCCTGTCTTTGTTGGACCAGTGACTTTGGCACGTCCTCCTTCCTTTGTGTTGCGCGGGACTTATAATAAACACCCTACGCGAGTATTATTATTGCTTTGGACAGATGTGGTAAAGGCTACGCGTTATGTGTTTTGATGTAAGGGGATGGATGTCGTACTTAGTTGAAGCTCAAGACGTATAGGAGAGCAATTCATTGGTAGATGAGATGAGTCAGCATTCTTGCTCGGCTACCCTAGACCGCATGACAAAAGTTGTGAATCACTTATTGTTTTGATTCAAAAGTAACAGTGAAAGGAACGTTGTTACGTACTTTAATGGGTATATATGTTTGGCATCTATGTCTTAATTACGAAAACTCTGTGGTTGGTGTGGGATGATGGTTGGTTCAATTGAGATTCAAGGTGTGTTGCTTGCTTGCTAACAAACCACAAGGTGTATCAATCAATAGGTACGTCAAACAAGTTTCATAAGAACTACATTGTCTTAAACACTATTCGCTGGAAAATGCATGAATATAGAGTTTTAATTAACACCTACTTACAAAGAAGAACTTACATTCAGATAGGTTAAAGAGAACATCTGTACGGCATAAATCCAAAGCTCTGTGCCGCCACCACAGCCACACTCTTACAGTCAATTAACAAGTGGACCCATAGACGCGATCAACGCGTTTCCTGTCTATCTTGTCCACGACAATCATCACTGACTTTATACTTCAAGGCACCCAATTCTACAAGCGCATATAAGCGCGCAAGAAGAATATACCTACTTCAGACATAATGAGTGGGAGTAATTTCAGTCACGGTGATAGGGCCTTCCTTCAAGCCATCCTGGCTCGAGGATCAATCACATTCGAAGAAGCTCGACCTATCCTTGCCGCAATTTTCAACGCCGGGCGCAACGAAGCTGACGACGAGGACGAAATACGGAGGGATCAAATCACCGAAGAACATTTTCATGAGGCTATCGATAAAATTTCCGAAGCGGCATCCCTGTTTGATTACGAAATCCGCAGCACTGTTCACCAAGTAACAAAGAGACGAATATGGGCTTTGGTTAATACTACCTCCGATCCGCAAACACAACTTGCCACGTCATATAGCCCCGAAGAGCTGTCATTTATCAAAAGAGTCCTGGATGCCATGTTTGAAAAGTTCAATACGCCGCGCATGGAAGTCATGGCCATTACGGAGATGCAGGCCATCAAACTGGCTCGACCGAACCGACGGGAAAGCCATGTCGACGTTGAAACCCAAACGCAAACAGTCGCAGACAAAGGGCTGAAGCATAGCGAAGTTGAAACTGCGCTTGCGAGTCTGGTTGAGGGAGGATGGTTCGAAAAAAGTCAAGAAGGCTTTTATACACTGTCACCACGAGCACTACTCGAACTGCGACCCTGGCTGGTTGAAACATACAACGACCCTGATCTTGAACCACAGGACTGGCAACGTATCAGGTTCTGTGAAGCATGTAAGGACATAGTCACAATGGGCCTGAGATGCTCTGAAGTGGATTGCAACTTCCGACTGCACGAGATCTGCGAAGAGGCTTTCTGGCGAACTAGAAGAGACAAGAAATGCCCACGATGCACGACCGAGTGGGCTGGTAGCAAGTATACGGGCGAAAGGGCAGTAACGTCGACCGATGCCTTTCAACGAGGACGACGGAGAGACGGCGGTGGTTGGCGACGTAGTACCCTTGCTGACGATGTCATTCGGGACGAGGGGGGTGCAGACGAAGCAGAGGATGACGAAGGACAGGATACTGATTGACGCAAACGTGCTATTTCTCAAAGCCTGTCTTCTACTAAGTATTATGATACCCCCGAATTGATAAATGAATCCATGTGAAGTTGAATTAAGTCTCGATCCCCACCCACATTGTGTCTGGAAGGATGCGACCAATAATTTTCGGATTCGTATGTCCGACGGCAGTTGGGTGTCGATCATCAGTTGAGCCCCAAGATCGTTGAACGTGGGGTGAATTTATGTAAAGGTCAGCCCTGGCTGCTAACCTGGGCTCGACTTGTCGAATCAACGCAAAAGAATAAATAAACAGAAATCCAATCAAAATCATGTAAAGAAAGATATCAACAATCTTATCTTTTATGTTGATGTGAATGGTTGGTCTTTCGCAGAACCCAGCTTTTAGTTGGATCGGGCTCGGCAGCTGTCATGACATCACATGTGATGTGGCTGTGCCTTGTAGACTCACGTAGATCGTTCGTCACCCAAGACAAGACAACCTAGACAAAGGCGAATTACAAGCGCGCGCCATCACACACTTCGCCATCACCACTCTTTCAAACTGGGCGGCCTCTTGTCTCAATCAACAGTAGTTAAATACCTTGATCCATATCTTGCACCTGCAGCTGGGTCCCCAACCAAACAACAACCTTTAACATGTTGGAATACTTGACGTACAAAAAGATCAAGAAGAATAAGGCCCAGAAGGCCGCGGCCGCTGAGGAGGCTGCAAAAAAGACTGAAGCTGGATCTTCTGTCGATCCAGGCCATGGCCGTGTACCCGACTTCAACAATAGTGCAAGCCAAAGACCTGACCAACATCCCAGGCGGCGAAGCACTCATCACAGCCAAAGCTCAAACACCCCTCCTCTGAGCCCCGTTCTTGACCGGGACGACGAAGCATGGCTTCGGAGCATCCTGGAAGATGACGGTCCAGCCCCGCCACTGCCTCCACGAGTCAACACCCCCCAGATCGACCTCTCTTCTGCGTCTGAGAGTGAGCTAGAGGCCATCAAGCCTCTCCAAGAGGCCCAAAGAAAGGACACAAAGAAGGATAAGAAGGTCGAAAAGCAACCAAATCGCCTAACCGCTTTGTTCACCAGACACAAGAAGCCGCAGGATGGCCTCAAGCCAGAGGACAATGTCGCCAAACCTGAAGCCGAGCGTGAGGAGCAGGATCTTGGCAACGTCCTCGATCGGCTGAACCTTCAAGCTAAGAACAACAAGATCGTAGCCCTCTCCAACGAGTCTTCCGAGCTGTTGTCTCGTTTCACACAGGTTTTCAAGGACCTTGCCAATGGTGTACCGACAGCTTATGGAGACCTTGCAAGCCTTGTTGAAGATCGCGACGGCGCCATCAACCGGGGCTTTGAAAAACTGCCGTCGTCTTTGAAGAAACTCGTTACTCAGCTTCCCGATAAGCTCACCTCATCTCTTGCGCCTGAGTTGCTGGCAGTCGCGGCAGAGAGCCAAGGTCTGAAGGCCAACACAGAGAAGGGCGTCAAGGATGCCGCTATTGATCTCCTCAAGCCATCGAATTTGACAGACCTAGTGACGAAGCCCGGAGCCGTCGTCGGTATGCTCAAGGCTATTGTGAACGCATTGAAGGTGCGATGGCCTGCCTTCATTGGAACCAACGTTATTTGGAGCGTTGCTTTGTTCTGTAAGTCCTCCCACCCAGCGAGTTCGTCCACAAGCTAACTCTATATAGTACTGATGTTCGTGCTGTGGTACTGTCACAAGAGAGGTCGTGAAGTACGGCTCGAACGCGAGAAGTCTGCCTCAGAGACCCCCATTGATGGCAGTAGCCGTATCGAGGAACTCCCAGATGACCCTCTACTTCCAGGGCCGGAGGAAGCAGCTGCAAGACGCAATGCCGACCGGGCTGCGCTCGGAGATCCTGTGTCTCCCCTATCCATGCGGTCGCCTGCTCCATTCATATCCGAGCCAGTCTCGCCAGAGGAGCCAGTTCGGCGCTGAGATGGGATCCGTGACGTCCTTTAACTGCTATGCTTTGATATGATAATGTAATGCTTGCGGCACGGGTTATGATAATTGATGAAATGAATGGGGCCTTTGGGCATGATCGATACCCAGTTTTCACTTTTGTTAAACAAGTTTGAAGAAAAAATATTGATTTCTGCATTCTCACAGTGGTTGGGTATCATATTATAAGAAACGTCCGTTTTCAGAGCTTGCCTCACCTTCGACCTATGTGGGTATAGTGACGCTATCAGAGCATTTCCAACGCATCAATCGTCTTGTACCACTTCCTTAATTTCTTCTCGCCCAGGAGCCATGGCAACAGCCTCGCTCTTATCGTTCACGCCTTGTCGATCTGTCGCACCACCACCATCTTGGGACCAAAAGTCAACCTCGTCAATGATATCGTAGACAATATCCTCTGCAATCTGATCGCGGTAACGCTCGCTTACAGGATGCAACTCGTTCAGGCGTTGGGTACCGGAGCGAGCGGTATTGAATTTACCATCCGCAACCGAATCGGCTGGAGGAGGATACCAGAAGTCGGGACCGAAATTGACCTCCACAGCGCCTCCTCGGAAAACACTCACCGCAGGGTAGTATCCGAGCATGCCGTCGTCGAGACCGTCACGAGCACCAACCTGTGCCTGAGGGCGAGAAGCTGGTGGGAGGAAGCCTAGGAGGTCCTCAAAAGGGGTTCCTACGAGAACACCGTTCTTGTATACGCGGATGCAAGAATTGGGGAGAGTACGGAGACTGGGAGATGTGTGATTTGGCCCGGGGTCTTCTGAGACACCACTACCCAGTCCCGTCGGGTTCATAAGATCTTCCAGTTCCTTAACAGGATGGTATTCGATCCTTTCGAAATACGTATGGGCCTTGAAACGAATGGGAAGGCGATCGCGGACAATGTTCCGCCCTTCAGCCGTGGGTAGAGGCTCGTCGTCTGTTTGATCAACTACTGGGTTGTAGTGCCCTGCCATGATCTTGCGGTGCAAGTTTTCGGACGGCAGTTGAATCTCAAGACCGATCACATCACCTTCTCGAATACCTTCCCCTGCAGGAAAGAATTCTTTAGGTCGTGACATGTGCACCTTTTCGCCTGCAACGTCGCGAAGGCCATAACTATAGGCATCAAACCCGACTGGGGCATCAAGTGACGCTTCTCGTCTAGCCCAGCCCATGCGCACGTGTTGCCCGCCTTCCGGTTTGGATTCGCCATCCTTGGGGGGCCGAACTCCTTTGGTGATTTTGCATTCCCAGTACCATCTACCTTCTCTCACAGCAACGTTCGCCCGCGTCATGCGAAATCCCTTGTCGGTTGTAACTTGCCGGGCTGTCTTGTCAAAGTAAACATGCCCTGCCGAGTCTTCGAAGCTCATATGAGGACCATATGGCTCGGGTTCCGTGCCTCGATAATAGATCATGGAAGGGAAGAGAGGGTCGGCGATGCAGTGTGTATAACGGAAGCTTTTTTTATTCGAGACACTTGATATGTTAGTCAAGAAAAGCCTGTCGATGATGAATCTGACTTACTGGTCTGACGTCTCAAAGAATTCAACGGTTTGACCATCAGGTGTTGTGATCTCATGATGCGTGGTCATGACAGGGCCACGAGGGGGATCAAAATCAGACAATTTGGGAGGCGCAAGCTTATAGCGGAATGGACTCGACTCGTTTTGTTTCTTTTGCTGCTTCGTTGTTTTCGGTTTTGGGTCTGGAGTCGCACGAACGCTGTCGGCACCTTTGGATTCGCGTTTCTTCAATGTTTCTTTCTTGGTGCGCACTGACTTTGATCGCGAGGTTTGCGAGGCATCTTCGGGGGCCAGAGAGTCGTAAGGTTTGACTTCGGGGTTCAATGGCGAGGGCACGATCGGACTGTGACGACCCTCTTCGAGAGAGCGCTTCTGAGGGATGGAGGATAACGGGAGAGTTGGTGTAGGCTCTCTCTTGGGAGAGCTTCCAAACTCGGATGCCATTGTGAAATGGAGTAATTGAGATGATTGGTATTGTCTGTAGATGCCGAAAACTGATACGGTATTGAGTCGGTGACGTGAAGCTCGGAATTGACCTCTCAGCGTTGGCAATTGTGGTTCCTGAATTGCGCCCACTTTGACTTGGAGCTAAGTCGGTAGCGATTGATAATCTTGACCCACTTTGTCGCGTTGAAAACGCGTGATAGATAAGATAGCGAGATAACGAGATGCAAGCCTCGGCTGATAAGATGAGAAGAAAAGAAGGAAATAAGAGGGTCCGATCTCAGACTTAGCAACTTAGTGGATCGTTGTAGTCGGTCTGGGCGATACCCCTGCGAGCAAGCCGAATGGCGCCAAGCAACTTGGAGGAATTTCTCCGTATTAGTTGAGCCAATCATGTGATGGTTAATGTAATCGGACGCATTTCAGGGGCGACCGAGAAAGAGTTGACAGAGGGGCCACTAGAACGTCTTAACTCAAGGGCCTGTGTTTGATACCTCCACTGTGACGACACGTAGGTTGAGAAGGGTCTTTCTTTACGTATTTTCTGGACATTGATTGAGAAAGATGTAAATAGCAACAAGAACAACGAGTCGGTCGAGATTTACTCATATGGTCTCTCAAGGGAAGAGTTTGACATTTGGTTGATGATGGGATCTCCATACTTTCGGAAACGGCATCTTGGTTGAGGCTAAGAAGAAGCTAGAACGAGATGAATGTCTAGAGCATCCCCCAGGTCTTAGATTGCACGGTAGACAAACAGGCACTTACCGGAGGTCGTTCCACACTAGGGTCTTCTCCCTGTGAAATCACATCATGTGTCTTTCTGCTTGCTTCGCACGTCACTCCTAGGGTCGCTTTGGCCAGTTCTGTTCAGGTGGTATTCTGGTGAATATGGATACAGGTAGTGTAGTTGTCCCCTCTGAGGGGCAGAAGAGAAAACAAAGACTTGCTGGCCCCCGTTTCCATTTCGTGCCTACCTATTCAGGTCATGCATGCAATGCAACGCAACTCCCGAGACCCGACAGCCAGTCTCCAATCCACCATAACTAATATCAAACAATCTGATCGGTACAACCAACAGTTGAGTTGTAGTCTATCCAAGTTTAAGCCCCAGCCCCATTGGTTCGAGATTGCCTGACACCGATCACCTTATTTTGTACTGCTGTTCTCAACTTACCTCATCTCAACCTTCCTCTACCTTGCCCTATCAATTCGGATCTCTTTCTCCTGGGGTCACCGTCTTCCCTCCACCGCCATCTGCCGTCTTATTATCTCCATTATCGATCTACCACTACCACATTAAGTCGGTTGGACCCTGGTCTTTTTGTTTTACTGTTACTCACTGCCACTGCCACTGTCCCAGCCTGGTGGTGCCGTTAAATCCATTGACAAAGACCTCTTTCTCCCCTTGCTATTCGCCAAGCACACCTTCAAATCCAGAAACGAGACGGACGGGGGCTTGTCCTGTTGCGCTTCGCTTCGCGCCGCCTTGCCTTTTGTTGTCTTACCAACATCTGTCATTGCGCAGTCATAGATTGATCGCCCCTGTGCCCGCCTTTTGATTGATCGAATCTGTTGAGGTGCCTTTTGCCCTGATTAACTATTCCTTCCTCACATCACCTACTACCTATCCATTACATCTCCAAACACTCTCTTGCGCACCCAGCCCTTGTCGTCTCTCTCCTCCTCATTCAACCCTCGTGCTCCTCATCTGTCCAGACCTTCTTGTTTGGTCTTGTTCTAGGCCTTGCGCTGGTCCCAAGTATCTGGTTACTGTCGCGTCACTATTTGACATCTGTCGTCTGACCAATATCTGGCTTCCCCTGCGATCAATTCGATCCAACCTTCGATTGGCTCTGTTTGCTAGGTCACCTGCCTACAAGCCTACAGCACCTCCTTCCGTCTTTTTCGTACCCTGGCGACTTTATCGAGTTGTCTGCCCACCAACCAGCGAACTATCTCCTTGGAGATACATATCGTTTCACCGCAGGCCAGGTTTATTATTAGGTACCTAGGCTCTTGGATTACTGTCAGCATCCGCGAACTCATACTGTGAGAGTCGTGGAACCCGGCTCCGGCTTCTCTCCGGATTCGCCTCTTTCCTCTGCCGGGTCCAAACCATTGCAAATCCGCTGCAGCCGATTACGACTCGTGTAAAGGCCTTTCCTTCCTCGACCAAATTCGAATCTTATCTTACTCATCTTCGATCTGTACGACGACCAAGCCGACATCCACCTCAGTTCAGTATCCATATCACCGCCGATGCATCTTGCGGTCTTCGGTTTGTGACTGATCTGCTACGCTTTACACGTAACTATACCGGTATACTTACTTTATTCGCCCAAACTGTCGTCGCCTTGAAACCGTCAATAAGCCCAGCCCTGTTTACGGGCATGAGCCAAGAAACCCAACCAGCGGCGCTGTATAGCCAGCAGCGCGAGGCAAGCTCAGTTCGCACTGCGTTACCAACAAGGCCAATGTCCTCGAAACCCGACGATCGTCCTGCTCCCCCTTCCCAAGAACGGACTAGACTTCCCACTGGCATAGAAAACCACGATCATCACCAGAGACTGAGTGGAAGCCCGCCTAGTTTTAAAACAAGTCCAACACCAGGCATTATGTCAAAACAACAAAGTCCTGTGGCAGATCTTGGTTCCAAAGCGAGCCCACCTCCTGCTAACGGTGGTAGCCAAGGTCAAGTTTGTAGGTGAGTGTTGATGTTCCTCTCTCCATCCTTGTCCCCTTGCTCATCTTATTGCAGTAACTGCGGAACTACTCGAACACCTTTGTGGAGAAGATCACCACAGGGCGCTACAATTTGCAATGCTTGTGGTCTATATTTGAAAGCCAGGAATGCGTCTCGCCCAACCAGTCTCAAGCGACCGCCAAATGTCGTGCCCGCGGATCCTCCTCAAGCTGCAACACCCAAACCCCCTACATCTGCAGCTTCAAAACCTGCGTCGAACGCGACATATGTATCTGCCGATCAAACTCCTGGAGGAACATGTCCTGGTGGTGGCCGTTGTAATGGAACGGGCGGTGCAGAGGGCTGCAACGGATGCCCAGCTTACAATAACCGTGTTTCCAAGAGTGCCAATCTTGGCGGCACCCAAAAGCGACAGAGCTGCCAAAGTCGAAGTGAAAGCACAAAACCGGAACCAGTCCCTCTGGATGTAAATGCTTTACAAAATCAACAGAATTCGAACGCCACCGTTGTGATTGCATGCCAAAATTGCGGCACCACGATCACGCCACTCTGGAGGCGCGATGAGAGTGGCCATACCATTTGTAACGCCTGTGGTAAGTATTGGTTTGCTGATTCTTTAGTCACTATTGATTAACGATCGTAGGTCTGTACTATAAGCTGCATGGTGTACACCGACCCATGACGATGAAGAAATCAACTATCAAGAGACGGAAACGAATCATTCCCGCTTCCCAGGATGAGGAGATGGAAGATACAATGGACTCACCCGAACCACACAACCAGTATATCGCCAATGCAGAGAGAGGATCAATGAATGAGGATGGATCTGTCAACCTGGGTATTCGCCGTCGTCCTGATCACCCGCTCACTATCGAACCTTTACCGTCGGTACGACCCAACAGAACAATATCGCCGTTACCTTCAACGTCTGATCTCGCTGCGTATCATCAGTCGAACAACCCACGTCACTACACAAGCTCCACAAATGACGATAATCGGCTGGCCCCCATGGCGTCGATGGCAGCCAATGATGATAGAAAGACGTCTCTGTCTCCCGCCTCGTTTCTCTCACCAACACGGAAACGGTCCTTCTCTACTACGGAAGGTGAAGCATCCACCGCGCAAGAGTCTGGGCAGGAGAGTTCAAAACGGATTTCCTCGATAAACCTGAAGTCTATTCTCAACCCCTCAATGTCAGCCACTACTCCACCAAAGCTCGGGACAGGAAGCGATGATGGTGACTACTCCTTACCGCCTATCCGATCACCTGGCAGTACCATTGCATCAGCTCCCAGTCCCAGCGCCTTCTCCAACCGTGATAACACTCCAGGTGCTGGACCGCGTGATTTCGAGCCTGAGAGGATGAAGGCTGAGCGACGGGCTGCTCTACAGCGCGAGGCGGACAAGATGCGGGAAATGCTTGCCGCCAAAGAGCGGGAGCTACGAGAACTTGGCCACGATTAATGAGTAGGATCAATTACGGATTACAAACGATTTATGAAGTGCTTGGAGACCAGCAAGGAGTCACTGCATCGCGAATCTGTGTGGACGGAAGGCGAGTTAAGGACCGGCGCTATTTGGTTTTCGCAGCATACACAGTTTCTTCGAATGAGTTTTAGCTCATGGCGTCGGAGGATTTGCTGCCAAGGAGTATGCTGATTACATACATGTCTGGTCTGCGGTCTGTTTCTTTCCATAAAGGTAACCGAAGAGGACTATTCAGCACCAGGGGCTGGAGCCGGTGGTGTCACTTCATCTCAAAAGCACAACGTTTCACGACACGAAAAATGCCCCGATAGACAGGATCAGAATAAATATCGCAAGATAGTTTACATATGCCTAAAAGAGAATGCGGTGTCGCGTGAGCGACTGTGAGTTGAGAACCTGATTGAGTATCAGTTTTAAGCCTGCTTTCCGCTTCCTCTTTTGATTTATAAGTGGTACTGATGTGCTTACTGTTTACTTTGACTCTAACTCACAACACGCCAGAATGTCAAGGTATCCATATTGCCTTCAGAAGAGCACTGGAAGGTGGGTTGTGCAACAAAAGCCTTCAATACTCAAGACAAGTACAGCAGCACACTTTCTGGTAGCTTGGCAATCGGTACATCTGGTAGACTGTGTATAAAGCGCGGGTTTTTTTTGAATCGTTAGACCCGCAAATAGCCAGCCTGAAGCATTCCGCGACATGCTCATTCTGTATGCCCAAGTTAGAAATGCTGAGGACTGATAGGTGAGTGTGACAACATTTGAAGTTAGCCACCGACTTCACCACAACCGACGACGTCTTAGAACCACCAACGAAAAAAAAGAAGAAGTATGGTGTTAAAGAGCCACACTGATGGAAGCTCTTACAGGTTTGGATATACAACAAATCTACATCTGTGAGTGTCGTGTTGTGTTGGGTTACAGTAGAGTAGTCCTGATCTGGCAACCACATGGAAACGATGATCAGCCATAAACCTTGAAGAACAGACATGTCTGGTATTGTAGGTACTTGTTTTATGGAATCGGGCATATAAAAAAGGTGACTGGTATTGCAATATGTACTAGTATGTTGACAATGGGATTGAAGGCGATTGTAAAACGAAACCACATAGTGACGGGCTTCGTCGGTTATTGCAGTTGAGTATCTAAACGATTATACAAGTTGGAATTTATTTGGAACTCAATAAAAGTACCTTGAGGGATGTCGATGTGCTTCTGGATGTTCAATAGATCTGTATTAAGCAATATGTTGCTGTGGATTGACATGGCTGCTTGGTGGTGCCGCTTGACTATCGTTAGGGTTTGTGTAAGTTTACAAGAAGAGGAAGATAAATGAGTTGGCTGTTTCTAGGACATACGAACTTCTTTTTCTTATAATAAATTTCAGATCTCGATTACTCTCCGCTTATGGATTTGGACAACGTTGAAGCACCAGACTGGAGGCATGAGTAGAAGTTGGCCACGATGGATGTTGTTATCACCACAACATAACCTTGTCCATGGGATACATCACGACAGTAGAATAAAGTTGTAAGATGCGACCTATTATTTAACAGAATATCTACACACTGTAATATTCGGATATTCCTCTAAGGACACTGTAGGAGCAGAGTTCTTATCGAAAGCGGCTCTATTGTGATATTGACTTAGTAGCCCAGCGGAATGGTTCAGGATCTACCCCAAGTTAGAGATATAATTTGTGCTAAAAGGAGCTTTTGGCACTTGGAGAGAAGTGCTTTGCTTGTCTATGGATCTCCGGATGGGCCGGCATGAAACTACTAATAAATCGATAGGCATCTGCTGGCAACGGCTGCTAAGAATTGTGCTAGGCTGAGAACTAGGCGAGCTGAAGTGATCTTTGGGCCTAGTTCCGTTCTGGTAATAAACACATACTCTCCTAGTAGCCTCTGTCAATAGAATTGAACGACACCCTTTTTGCTGTTCCGTGATCGCGAGTTCCGGAGCCGGGATCAGCCACTGGAGACTCCGCTGCTACCGTATTCGCGACTGACCCACTGAGCGCTATAGTTCCGCTGTGTATCCGTAAGGCAGGCGAAGCTTGCATGAGTGGGCAGTGAGATGACACCACGACAGGCAGTAGTTCAATGCTGGTGCCTTCCCTTGGAAATTCGAGACTTGTACGGATACCACACCAGACATGATTCAACTTCTCTGCTTACCAATGCGTCAGACAACAAGACGCAACATCACACTCAAGCAGGGAAATACTACGTATGTCGTCGAGCGATCTGCGATTTCCTAGCTTATTGGCGACAGGACGACGTATTGGTGGCTGTTCCTAAAATCTTACCTACAGGTCCACGAGCATGGTCTTTATTCTTTTCCCCGATACTCGGTTCTTGGAATGTTCCAGCGCTTTCATCGCAGTCCAGAAGAGATAGGCATATCTCAGAATAAGATGGAATATTAAAACACTTCCCCGAGGACGTGCTTAACCCCACACATGTGTCCTGGGGATGCAGACTTTTGGACCCTTATAGAGTCATGTTGTATCACATTCCGATTGGATCATGGCTACAGCTGACCTCATTAGGATATTCTTATTCTGAAAAGATCAGAGTCGGACCTAACTACGGGGAAAAGATTCATATACACGCCGGTCTCGGTGTACGGTCAACTGAGGAACGAGACATGCCTGCATGGATGGTTGCGCCTTGCGAATAACGAGAAGCGGAGCTCAGGATGCACCAATGCCACTTAACATGATCAAGCTGACACTGTACATTGAAGCCGCTGATTGGCGAGTTAAGAGCATGGCTCACCCTCAACTGAGCAGAAAGCCATCATTCTACAGTGTTCATAACACCGTCACTTCCTAGCCTGTGTGCGTGGGTCCATTGATCAAAAAGATCCTTGTCTGTCAATTGAAGGGCGCACGACTTGACAATCTAGTTCGACTAGTCCAACTGGTTGGTGTGACTTTGCCGACAGTCTGCACTCCAACTCCACCAGACCTTTTTGGTACTATTCAAGTTCTGGGGTTGAGAACGGCTGACTCCATCGAAACTATTATCTTAGACAGATCGTTGGCTGTGGCTATGAGCTTTTCGACTTGAACAAAACTCAGAGGCCATCCTCGATTCATGAGCCTCTTTTCTACCTTTTATTCTCAGATTCAACAATAACCACTTTTCTTTTCTATCTTATATCACTTGTCAACGTTTCAAGTGGGACTGGGCTAGATTGGATTGGCTTGACTCGACTACCAACTCTACTCGGCTCATGGTTGTCAATCTTCACGCGCGCCTTTCGATCGACTTGAACTGACATCTCTGTTCCACATCAGCACTTATCCTTGTGCAGCATGGCCGGCATCGACGAGATGGAGCAGTTCGTCAACTGGGACAAGGCTATCGACGCCTTTCAGCAACCCCAGGATGGCAATGCTCTGGCTGGTCTGACAGACGACGACAACGAGAATATTGACCTTGTTCTCGCAAATGTCAGCGAGGATGACTTTAGTTTTTGCGCTCTTCAGCACTTCTCGGACAACAACTTCCATGTGCCAGACATGCCTACCCAATCAATGGACTTCATGACGACTGCCGATGACATTTCCAATCAGTTCCAGTGGGATACACCTCCATCCCCGTGTATCAACTGCTCCATGGCTGGCTTCTCTTGCAAAAAGATCCGAGAGGGTATGTACAAGGACTATTGTACCACCTGTGTGGCCTTGAAGGTCGACTGCAGTTTCGCCGTTGCCCCAAAGTCCATCAACCCTTCAGCAGCGTCCTTCAACATCGACCCTTTCCTGTCATCAGGACCTGAGATACCCAGCACATTGCAAGAGGATGCTCAAGACGACTCTTGTCAATCCTCCCGCAATGCTTCTCGTAACGCCTCTGTTTCTGATCTAGCCAACATGGGAGAGACATTCAGCAACAAGGCAGCAGCTCCTCCTAAAATTGGAGCACGGTTTTCTCGAGAGTCTGTCCGCATTCTCAAAAATTGGCTATCAACACACAACCGTCACCCGTATCCTAGCGACGAGGAAAAAGAGATGCTGCAGCGCCAAACCGGCCTGAACAAGGTACAGATCACCAACTGGCTTGCAAATGCACGCCGACGAGGCAAGGTCCAGCCTCCTCGTTCGACATCACCCCACTACACCAGCTCATGGTCAGGTCCAATGGATATTCCTCAACGCCGAGGAACACCAGCTCTTGAAGCCATGAATCCACTGCAGCGTTGGGAGCACTCTCCTCCTGAGAACGAACCTGCTTCCGTCAGTGCCATTGCTCGGGCCGTTACAGCATCGTCTTCCGGCTTGTCATCTGGAATCGACAGCCCCTTCAGCTTGAGCTACGCGGACGATGGCTCGGGTAAATCCATCTGCAACCAGTCATCGATTAGCAGCTTGGGAACATCTCACTCCAGCAATGGTTCTCTTGGATCGGCCTATTCACACGGATCTCGTAACTCATGGGGATCATTTAGCTCAGCTCCGTTCAACAGCCATGGCCGTCGACGTCGTCGCCGAAGGGCTTCAGCAAAAACAGGAAAAGACAAGACGAGCCTCATGACCCCCCTCAAGACTTTCCAATGCACATTCTGTACAGAGACGTTTAGGACCAAGCATGACTGGCAGCGACATGAAAAGTCATTGCACTTGTCCCTCGAGCGGTGGGTGTGTACTCCCCACAGCCCAAAGGCCGTCAACCCCGATACTGGTATCTTGTCTTGCGTCTTCTGTGGTGACGCTAACCCAGACGATGCCCATATCGAAAGCCACAACCATTCAGCCTGCCAAGAGCGCACACCTGCCGAACGAACTTTTTACCGGAAAGATCACCTTAACCAACACTTGCGTTTGGTTCATAACATTAAGTTTCAGGACTGGTCTATGAAGTCGTGGAAGGTGGCTACGCCAGAGATTCGGTCGCGGTGCGGTTTCTGTGGTATCGTGATGGATACATGGACTATTCGTGTCGACCATTTGGCGGAGCATTTCAAGACGGGTTATTCCATGGCTGACTGGAAGGGTGACTGGGGTTTTGATAATCCAGTACTCGAAATGGTCGAGAACTCTATGCCTCCATGTATGAGACCTCTGCAGTATCCTGTAGACAAGTTGCCGACATCTAACTTTTGAAATAGATCTTATTCACTATGAACGCACATCCCCGTTACCATACGTAGCCAATCACTCCCCGCCAGAATCACCTCGCAATGCCTACGAGCTGATTAAGCTGGAAATGGCTTTCTTCACACGGAACTACCAGGACCAACACGGACGACTACCCAACGACGAAGAGATGATGGTTGAAGGTTGTCGTATTATTTACGCCAGCGAATTGTTGTCTTTACAAGGCATTGCGACGCGCCCATCCTGGCTTCGTGATATCATCATGAGCTCCGAGACACTGCAACAAAAGGCAAGATTCGGTCCCTTGCGTGGCGCTGCGGAAAACAGGCTGGCATCACTGAAAATTAACGGCAAGGACAACTTGTTCGAGGAGTGCCCCATGGAGGTACAACTGCATGAGTTTGTTAAGGCCAAGAGACTACTGGGCTTAACAGCAATGGATGATGAGCTTCAGGATGAGGCTTGTCGCATTGTTGGACGAGTAGAGGAAGTATCGACACACCCATCGGAAGCCATTGCCAACTGGCTTATCCGGCTCGCGACATCATCCACTAACTGGCTTGCCGCTTTCCGTCGACGTGCACACTTGCCACGAAGCGAAGACGTGGTGGACCATATTTGTCGATCAAAGGACCCTTCATCGATCGACTCGACTATCCACAGTTACTCACGTCTCGAACGTGAACTAAAGGATTATCTTATTCTACAACGTTCCATGGGAATTGAACCCACGGACGATGACCTTCAACGACAAGCTCGTATCATCATCTATGAATTCGATGACGGTTGGAACCAAACCGCAGCCGATAATGCCTCTTGGCTGGAGGGTTTCAAGAACCGTCACCCCGTAACAAGCGACAGCTCACCTGCTTTTTCTCTCCAGGATAGCACCAAGTCGACGGTCAGTGGGACCGCTGTTACCGATGCCACGACCTTGTTCAGCAGCGAATGCCCCGTACTCATGGGATGTGACGACATGTTCGATATGGGCAGTGGTAACAACTGCCCTGGACCTTACTTCCTCAACGATGCCAACTGTTACAGGCGATTGGCTAAAGAGTTGAAACGATGGGTTGCTGGTACAATGTCGGTGAACAATCCCAATCGCCATGTGCCGAGCGATGAAGAACTCCAGCACCAGGCCCGCTGGATTCTTTACGACGAGTAAGTTTACTGAGCCTACTCACGAGGTTGCATCATGAACTAACAATACCCTAGTGATGATCCTTGGAACCAGACTGCTGCAGATAACGCCGAATGGCTACAGAGATTCAAGCGCGATGCTGGTGTTCTCAAGACAGATGGTCCTGGCCTCCCGATGAGCGACGGCTGGGCACTCGAGTCAGGTGGTTCTGGATTTGCGCCACCGTATGCCTGCCCAAAGGCATCACTCGATCCTTTCCCTGCGGATGCCCAGGTGTCCATGGGCCAAGGCGCCAAGTCCCTCCCAGCAGCTATTGCAAACAGCTATCTCGAGAAGCTCACGTCGCAGGCGGCGCGACCGGCCGAAATTTTCTGCTCTCGCGAATTGGAGCGTGGTCTCATCAGCTATGTTGAAGACCATGTCGCCTGCAAAGGAACCATGCCTTCGGATGCCATGCTGCAAACTCGGGCTCGACGTATTCTTGATTCCAATACCACTCCTGCGGACGACGTCGACTTACTGAACAAGTTCAAGGAGATGGTGGCCAAGAAGGTCTCTCAAGTTGCGACTATACCTGCCATGCCCAGCAACGTTGACATCAACCTTTCAGATGAGGATGTTAACAATATTTTGCAAGACATGGATTTCGAATTTGACACTCAAGACTTTGGGGGCGTTACTATGGAAGGGCTGCAAGACACAGGCGGCGTGAGCCTGGATTTGATGGGATTCAAAAACTAGGGACCGCTATACACTATTAGAGAGGTGTATTGATGATAATGATTAGATAATTACAAGAAAACGGGGCGTTGGATTTGTTGATGTTTCTGGACCTATATACTGTAGAGAAGAGTTGATAAAGGGCTCACTGGATACATTCAAATGAAAAGAATGATTGTTATGAATCTGGTTGCTGTTGGTGACTGAAACCTGGTAATAACAATAACTTTTGTTCTGGACGGCCATACGCGAGACAATGTCTCAGTCCAAGGCCTAGAACAGAACATGGAAGCAGCCCATTCAAATAGTTTACGTTTGCATGCGGATGGTGGAGGTGCGACTACCATTAGGTTATGGGGCGATGCTTTCCGAAGACGGAATTAGGCTTGACTCTGACGTTGGCTTTACCTGCCTGTACCTTAAACCAGCCAATCTAATACTATTCTGAGTAAGGTACGAGGCAGTGAACGACGCTCAGATAATGGAGTGCAGTCAAGCAGAGGTAAAAGTTGGAAATAAGGAACGGAAGAAATTCCAATCATTCCACCTACTTCAAACAACCACAATCAAGCCTCAGTCTCAGTCTCAGTCTCAGCCGTCGATACCGAAATGTCGGAAGCTACACATGCTGATCTATGAAGTATTATCAAAAGAGACTTTGTCTTGTCGAGAGACGACCAATTCAGGTGACGCCTGAGTGAGGTAATCAATCACGGCAGAGTCAGCCAAGCCCGTCACTTATATCTCATCTTCCAGTCTCCCGTCTCTTGTCTCACCACCGAACGACACAACTCAATGCCGACTTATCTATGCCACGGATTTCGATGGCACCGCCGCGATATCCGCATTTTCGTCATACTGAATGATCTTGAAGACGCGGCTCCAAATTGGATTCTTGCGCCTGCGTCTTCGTATTGTATCCTCGATCAGTTACACGCTCAGTTTGATTTCCTGCCCGAGCTCACCCCGCCGACCACACCGACACAAGCCAGTGTCAGCAATGCGAAAAATGCCAAACCAAAACCAAAACCTGATCATGTGGATGATGACCACGATCTCCCCAAATCACGTGTACCCGACGCCGAAGATGCTGTTCTCATGCACTCCTGGTCCCCAGTCAAGCTGTTGGAGGAGTTTGACGTGGACGAGATGACAATGGCATGTAGGCCATATGCCTATGTGGCTGACTATGTGGCGAGAATTGATCTGAGCGTAGATGTCGCAGGTGAGATGGCCAGGTACTACGAAAGAATGGCAGGTGACGATGGCTGGATCATTAAATTAAGGGATCAGTTGCAGAAAGGGGAGCCGGTGAAATGGTACATTATCGTCTGTGGTGACGAGGTGAGAGAAGTCCCTGGTAAAAGTGACGAAGAAGAACACGAGGTTGGATATGAGCAGTTGAGAGAAAGAGCCCAACATATGGCACGAGCCAGGAGGACGAGAGAAATCATGGATGGGTCTTCCAACTCACCATCTGAATACGAGGATGACGGCGACCAAGACGAAGACGACGCGCTTACTGTATTGGAAGGTATACTAGATCACTCCGAAGGTGCTACTACTCCAAGGCCTCTTTCATTAGAACTGCCCGATATCCATATACCACTCCAGCCTCGACTTGACCCGGCCAGAGCATCAGTCTTGACTACCTCAACAGTCTGGTCCCAGGATCAGTCACCCGATGAAACGGCAGACACAGAGACTCCAGACATTGACAAACCACTTTTACCCAGCGAGCTCGATCCTAACAGAACGTCCATGTCTACGGCATACTCAATTTGGTCCCGAAAAGAAACTCCGGATACGCGGCTACGACAATCTGAGATTACGCAGTATTCAACTTCTACGGCATCAGGACTATATTCTGAAAATGGGCGCACTCATCTTGAACCAGAAGAGTTTGCCAAGACGCAGCCACCAGCGCAAATTTTTGCAAGGGAAGAGACTGCAGATGTCTTGCGGCCCCTCAAGCCTGCAGAACTTGTCTCATCAAGGACTTCGACGCCGCCAACGCCCAAGGCTTCAGAGAGACAACTACCAGCTCCGAGCTTATACAGACCTGAGAGCTTTGTCCCACCTTTCTCGCCACCTTTGCCATCTTCAGAGACCTTTCCAGATGAAACCCCTAAACCAACGGTTCCGGACCAAACCGAGGCTACAAACCCGACGGAGCCTTCATGGCCGTTGTCGTCCGACTCACCTCTAGGATCGTCAGGGTCTAGTACATATCGCAACGAAGAGAATTCTTTCCCACTGGTGTCATCGCCGCCACATTCTAGGAATTCACCTGCAGCTATATTTTACTTATCTAAAGAAATCACACCCCCTAAAATACCATCGCTGGCATCAAAGCACCCTCCGCAGCCGCAGTTTCCAGGACCTACAATGTCTAGGTTCCAGGAAAGCGTACCGCAAGCTTCACCGTTACTGGTTACGCCGAATCCTAAACACATAGAAAAACCAAGTTCCGGTGTCTTGTACCAAGCCGGAGAGTCTGTCCCTAAAAAGCAACCACCGTCGTCGTTGCCTAGGTCCAGAGTTGTGCGTGCTCCCCCACCACTAAACATCAACACGACAAACTCGATCAAGCGCTCGACTTTAAGTCCTGTGAAGAACATCACGCCACCGACATCAGCTCAACGAGAGACATCTGATCTCAACATGAAGACACCCCCCATAACTCCTAGAACTCCCAAAGCGTCTACAGGGCAGCCACTCACACAGGCTTCGCCAAAGTCACGAATACCGAGAAGCGGACCAAAGAATATACGACTGTCAACCCTACCGCTTCCACCTGAACCGGCAGTGAAGAGTCCTGTTCGTCCTCCTACGCCGCCAAAGCCAAAGCCTCGCCTTCCGCAGAAAGAGGTGCCGCAGAGAAGACCACAAACAGCACCAGAAGAGGGAACGCTGTTGAGACCCAACGGGGCAGGGTTTTCGAGGCCACTCCAATATGACGCCCCCAGATCTATGCAGAAACCAGGAAGTGAAGGAGTGATACTGGGGCCAAAACTAACACCAACATCAATACCAACAGTCCCTGCGGGCTACAGTCGGAGTGCTACTGCACATGTAAATGCGCCGCTCGACTCAGTAACACAGGCGAGGATGAGAGCGCAACCACCTCCAAACCCAGCACAGATTCGACAGCCTATTGTGTCTACTCAAAATACTGATGGGTATACACTTGAAGGAGGAAAACATCACAAACATCACGTTGCTCGAAGCCATTCGGTTGCTGACGGGTTTAAGAGGCTTTTCAGGAGACCATCTCTTGCCAAAGGATCCCACCATTGAATGGAGACAGTTGTTGAAGCATGTTGCGACGGAGTTTGGAGTTTGAAATTCAGAGTCAGGGAGTTTGTTTTTGGGTGTTATAGAAACCTTTAAATGGCATTATGACGGTATTGTGGCCAGGTTACTATTCCGTACGTAGGAATATCGTTGCAGGGATACCCGGTAAGGTTATGGGGCTTCATAACTTTTAATGTTTTATGATGGAGTCATGATAGAAACCGAAATTGCCATCGACATGTATAATACCCATTTTGCCAAATACGATATGTACTCTGTAATACACTTTAAATCATTTTGTACAAACATCGCTCTCATCATAGCATAAAAGATTGAGGGCTAATGAAACCCCTATGTAAGGAGTTGGCCTACGTCACGTGTAAGCAAGACAGCTTGATTCAATCGCATTGATCCTTTTACATCTATCTGTTCCTCATCTCGTCCAATTGATTCCGCTTGTGTCAAGCGAGAATGCAACCCAGGACATATATTGAATGGCGTCTTTAATGACCTTCAATTAACCTCAGAACTACTCTGACAACCATCTCTTCCAGTGCCGAGTCCAAGACAACTCACCCCGCGGTGTCCCTGTATTCATCCCTATTAACGACAAACGTTCAGTCTCGCCTCAGCGTCCAGATGGTCCATCCAAGACCCGAACCCGGGCCCAGCGCCCCGACCGAGACGTTTGCACAGACGAGCATTGAGCTCACGCTCGACGACAGCGACGAGGAAGATCTCCGTTCGATCGTTGGTAGTGGGAGCGATGTATACGAGCTGCATGACAGGAACACAAGCAGAGATCGAAATGGCAGTGCGATATGGGATGCCGAAGCTGGCGATGACGAAGATGCGGACCGTCCTCTCGTGGCAGGCCGTCCACGAAGTCCTGGGTCCGTGGCGAGCTTCCAATTATATACTCCAGACGAGGAACAGGCGGTCCGGCGGAAGTTTGACCGTAAACTTGTTTTGTTTGTAGCTCTGCTCTATATGCTGAGCTTTGTCGATCGGTCGAGTAAGAATTGGGTACCCTTTCCATACGGACACAAAAACTGACAAAAATATGTAGATATCGGTAATGCTCGAATAGCAGGCATGGATGAAGACCTCCAGTCCGACCCGCCCCGTGACGAATGGTATGAGTGGGCTTTGACGGCTTTCTACATCACTTACATCGCCTTTGAATGGATGTCGCTGCTGTGGAAGATCATTCCTGCGCATATTTTTGTATCCATGGTAGTCCTGACCTGGGGTCTCATGGCATCCCTTCAGGCTGTCGCTACGTCGTACCCCATGCTTATTGCGTTTCGCGCTATATTGGGCATCGGCGAAGCAGGTTTTACTGGCATTCCGTTTTACTTGAGCTTCTTCTTCAAACGGGAGGAGCTTGCATTCAGGACCGCTATTTTTATATCTGGTGCGTCACCGTCTTTCTTGTATAACCACAGGTTTACATTGTCGAGCCTGTGACTAACTTTAACAGCTGCACCTCTGGCCACGACGTTTGCTTCCACCCTCGCCTGGCTCATTGTCAAGTTTGCCTCGCTTAGTCCCATCGCTCCCTGGCGTCTTCTCTTCATCATCGAGGGTTTCCCATCTGTCATCGCCTCTGTAGTCGCATGGAACGTCATCCCAGACTCACCCCAAACCGCCTCCTATCTAACCAAGCGCGAAAAGAAGGTTGCTCGTTTGCGTCTGCGCAGCGAACAAGCTGCATCTACGTCTACAAGCTCCGAGTCTTCGTCCGGTCTCAAGGGCCGCGATATTCTGGCCATCTTCCGTGATCCCGTAGCTTGGATCACTGCCACCATGTTCTTCCTCACCAACATGGCTTATTCGTCCCTCCCCGTCTTCCTCCCCAAGATTCTCACTGAAATGGGCCACGATACCCACACCTCCCAGGCCCTCAGCGCTCCTCCTTATTTGGCCGCTTTTGTTATCGTTCTTTTCACAGCTCACATGTCTGATCGTTTGCGAACTCGCACCATCCCTCTAATATTTCATGCTCTCGCATCCTCTACCGGCTATGCCATACTCGCTCTGGCTAAACCCCTAAACTTACCTAACTTCATACGATATATGGCCGTTTATCCTGCCGCGATAGGCTTCTTTAATGTCGTCACTCTCATCATCACATGGAGCATTAACAACCAGTCCAGTCAGAGTCGTCAAGGAGGTGGATTCGCCCTCCTTCAGCTCGTCGGTCAGTGCGGCCCGCTCGTTGGCACCAGGCTGTACCCAGATCGTGATGCTCCTTATTATGCGCCAGGAATGAGCACTTGCGCGGCGGCGATGCTCGGCGTTTCCATGCTAGCTTATGCTCTTCGCTTTTACCTGAAGTATCAGAACCGTAAGTTCGACCGGGCTGAGAGTGAGCATTTCGAGGGAGGTGATGAAGTAGAGGAAGAAGGCCTCGTCGGCTCCGGGAGGCGAAAACCGATCGGTGTCTCCTTTCGATATATGTTATAAAGAATTGTAATTCCTTCCTGTTCATATGTGAGCCAGTTTCGTACGGATTCATACAGCGACACAAGCTCAGTGTAATGGAAAGCCTCAATTAGTGAATTTGTAATTCCTGCTCCTTACTAACTTGCTGATAACAAACTTTTCTGCCTTCACCTGCTTATCCGTTCCGAAAGCTGCGTTGTTGTTGTATCAACCCTGGTCTATTTCCCAAAGTGCATCCATTCGGGAGCTTGATACTTTTCGACGCCAGCCTTCCACCAGGCCTTAGGTCCACGCATGGTATTTTCTATCGAAAATGTTGCGAATCCTTTCTCATGCTTGCCTTTGATTGCTTCACCAGGTTTGAGTCTACGTCGCAGTTCTTTCCAAACCGAATATTGTTTCTTTTGCTCTTTATGCTGCTGCTTGATATTCTCACGAGCTTGGCGAAGTTTATCGCAGCTGCTGCGGCAAATATTGTTTGCTAGCTTCTTAACTTCAACACGGGATCGCTTCACACTGGCAGAAATGCTTCGAAGAGAAATGCCGGACGCTTTTCTTTTCCTAGACGTGATGATTCGGGGTAGCTTTATTGATGGGCTAGGGCTTTCTGAATGGAACGTGTCTGTCAGGTTGCCGAATCCCGTGTGGACTGCCACTCTTCTTAGTGGTCGCATCTCGAGGCTCTCGACAGAGCCTTCTGTGGGAAACTCGTCCTCGTGGCTGGCCTCACTATTGTGCGGAGCCAGAGTTTTCAATGCCAGATCTTCAGAGCTCGACGAGATTTCGAACCGGTGATATGAGGGTGTCGGCAAGCGTTGTAGCTTTCCGATAGCTGCTGCGGCATCTGTCAATGTCTTGTAAGTACTCCCTTGACTTACAGCCCTGGAAGCGCCAAATGAGCCAGATGATGACCGGAGGCCAGATAAACGATCGTTTGTGTGGCTGTATCTCGTCAGGTCACCAAGATTCGACAAGACGATGTGGGAATCGGGTGGTGAAGGCAAATCTGGGGACCCGATAACGTCTTCAGGATAAGAAGAAGATGTGCTTCTTGCACCTTCTTGGCCAGACTTGTGCTTGGGCTCGGGTACAAGCAGAGACTCTGGGGATGGCGTTTGAGATCGAAGATCCCTGATGCCTTCTTTTACTATTTGCAGAAGAGAAACATGGTCTGTACCGACTAGAGATAATGACCGTTTAGTGATTTGTTCTGTAGAGAGGTCGTCTGGCTCTGCTTTCTCATCATATCGATCATAATGAAGACCCGGCATAAGTGTGCCATTTTGAAGAAAGGGTTGATTACTGATAGTCCTCGGCTTTAGTTGCATTATATCCGCATCGATCCCAGAGGCAGGAAGTGGGATTTTTGATGTAACATCTCGCTAAGATGCTTCGGGCCTGATATTCTCAAAACACCCAGCATTCTGTCGTAGGGCTGGTTCTCGCTTCTTGACTCTGAGGTCACTCTTTCGGGGGCTTGAGACTGTCTGGTTGTCATATGAGCGGTTGGCAGCTTTGGTAGGGAGCGTGGAAGGACGCGAGCGGATGGGTAGAGTGAAGTTAAGATTCATGATGAGGCGGATACTTGTTATTCTTTTGACGCCAAAAAGAAACTAAATGTTGATGGCTTATCAAGACTGACGGATGGAACGGGGAGTAAGAGAAATTGAGTTGGAGATGTAAGAAGCAAAGTCGATGGAATTGGAATATCTAAACCTTAAAGTTAACTGCCTTGAAGGGGAGGAGGCATGAGAGGCAGGTGCGAACAAGTTTCTGCAGGCAGGGTTGCTCCTTCTTCTTCAGAAACGCACAACTTCATCCTGGCTCCAATGCTTTTTTTTATTTTACCTCAACACCAAAAAGATGATATTTGAATATCTATACTGTTAATCAATAGATAGATATGTATGTTGCCAAATATCAAAAAGACGAATCGGAAGGCGTTGGGATTGCTCCCGCCAGGGCTTGAACCTGAGACCTTCGCATTACTGAATATTCAGATTGAAGTATTAGTACGACGCTCTAACCAACTGAGCTACGGAAGCCAACCAATTCGATGGGAACTAAAGCAATCTCTCGAATATACAGACTTTACTGTGAGAGAGCTGAAGCATAAAAATATCTGGCAAGTCAAACGATGTTCAAACTCGATTGATGATAACTAATTAATTCTTGGTAAGTAATGAATGGCCTGGCTATAATCGACTATTATTCCTCCCCTCATAATCTCATACCCATTCAACGCCAGCTGAGAAATGGTATAACTTCCCCCAGCACTGAATCAACCTGTGCCTTAGCACCCCTCTCACTCTAGAATCACTTGGGATCTCGTACACAGTTAGTGCACTTGGCGCAAGTGAAGTGAGTTACCACATGTCCCAGACTATCAGTTCCTGAAGGTGCTTTCTCATGGAGAAGATGGGCCGAACCCTTCTCAATTTCTGGCCAGGCAAAGATGTTGAGGGGAACGCATCGGTTCTCAAATCTGTCATATAGTTGCTTGTTAGTTATCTCAAAAGCCACCCATTGAGCTTGCAAGGAAGAAACACTCACGTAGCGAGACGGCAGATAATCTCAGGCTCAGAAAAGACAGAACCAACATGGTTCTGGAGCTTGCCGTTCAGCTCAGTGCAAGTGTAATCGAGCTCCGGCTGGTACTCAAAGCATGGAGGTCCCCAATTCTCACCGCGACAGAAGTAGACCTGCAAATCTGTTAATTGATGCAGATAAATCAATGGTAACATAGTCATACCGATGCAGGCTTTCGATCTCCATTACTGTTCTCTTGGGGTGTAGTGCTGAGACGAGACTTGATGACTTTGGGTTCAATGGGCTTGTAGTTGGGTGCGCCTCTTTCTGAGAGAGGAGAAGACCACATGTCAACAGAAGCAGAAAGGCCCTGAGAGGCAAAGAATGTCAGAAGAGCAAAAGCAAGTGAGGACTTCATATTGAAGGCTATATCTGGTTGAATTTGGGAGAGTGGTGAGTTGTAGTAGGATGAGTTGGCGAAGTAGATTCGATAGCCAGTGTTGTAATGCTGTTGAGCTTGTATAATATAATGACATTGGATGGCAGTGGCTTAAGCCTTCTTATATTAACTTTCGGCACACCCATCACCGTTTAGAATTAAGAATTAAGATAGAGAGGAGGAACTAGGTATGATGCGGAGACCCTCGTGATGAAAATAGCTAATGCGATGCTACTGCATCTATTGTCGCAAAGTCAATGGTGTCGCGTCAGCTCTGGCCAGTCGCAGACGTATCCATCATTGTGATGCTATGGCTCGTTGATCCATAGATGCACCCGTTGATTCAGCGCCTCGTCAGCATACTCAGCTTCCCCATAGAAACTAACTCAAAACTGCTGTAGGTTGATGCGGTCATGCCCGTAATTCGATCTCGGCCCATCAGGGCGTTCAAAGCAATGCTGTCAACCTGCAGATGGGCTTACATCATGTAAACAAACGGTATTACTCACTGGCGTAACTCTCGTGTCTGCTGGTCAACCGTCTGTCTGGGAGAGAAATGCGCAGAGTTGACAATAGCGGTCTCGCTTCATTTGGATTCCCACGTTGTGCATTGCATCACGGGATATCATGCGAGGCCGCGATTTGTCAAAATCAAACAGAATATACTGCACGTTCAATTTTGTGGTTTCTAGGAATCTGAAATGCATGCGCCGCGTGAAGCCGCTGGATCGCTCAACGTGCATTTACTGATCGACCTGGACTGACGTAAATGGCAGAAGCAGAGATACAATATCAAGATGTGAAGTGATTCTGGTAATACTCGTATCCAGATTTACGTATTCATAAATAAAACCAATGGCTGACTGCAGCTTGCATAGCTATTTTACTGTGCCTTTATTAGCATCGATATCACAAGTGATATCGGCATTGAGCCGGAGCCGGGAAAGGGACGGAGACACGGCAGAACTCCACAGGACGGGGATTGCCTAAACAGGAAATCACATCTATCCGCCTTTACGAGAGACTTTGGTGACGAATCCTGTACATTATACAAGAGCATTTTGTTTCCTAGTAGCATATACGGACACCAATGTGATACCTCGAGCTTAGAGGTTTTCAACCAAGTATTGCATCGCAAATGGCCTCAATCCCGGCACTGTCTTAGCCTTCGGAGGAGATCCATGCACGAGATGGCAAATCTGGTCAGGCAAGGCGAGCTTCTTGTGAATCGAGACCGATCTCTAACAGGGAAAGATGCTTTGTTTTTCGAGTGCACAGCATAGTTTTACCCAGTAGCCTGTCGCATCTCCCTGCCGATAGCCACTCGATCGAGAACACAATATGCACTGCTCCTCGTGGTACAACAGCAGGCGCTCTGCATACATGCAGTGCATCAAGGCTACCAACCCCCGACCTTTTTTCTCTCTCTTATTTTTTCTCTCTCTCTCGGAGAAAAGTATCACATGCCCATCATCATGTGCATCAGACGATCCAAACAATATCTCAGGTTTGTAATAAGAAGGCAGACAGATACGAGATAGTACAACGGCGGTGATGACTTCCGTAACCAACACAGCATTTACGATTCTATCACAAGAGAGACATGTTACTCTTGATACCTCGCAATTCGAGGCGGTGTAGTTGAGTTTGGCAATCACGCAATATCTCTTCAAGGATGAGTGGTAGAGATGAAGGATGATCATGGTTACAGCTACAAGACTGAATCTTGGTGTAAACGTCTGCATATGGCATTCATTAACCTGAGTTTGCTGTTAGCTGATTTGGAGGCTCAAGCGATTGCTTGAGAGGATGTACTGCGAGCCAAGTCGAAAGACTAAGGAATTTAATGTGGACAATCTGCAACAACTAGTGTCAAGTAAATCACTATGCTTGTGACCTAGAACAAAGTTATTCTTTCACAGTCCTCTGTATGGCTTGTTGCCGTGATCATAATGACCTGAGTGTTGATTAATTCCCCACTGAGAATAAATTGCATTATGTTTCGACGTTATGATGGAGCCTGTAGCTACCCAACTTTTTACTATATACAAAGAGGTATTTCCGCTCCTTTTTACTTTATCTCTTGATCAAGAAAATTACACAAGACCTTACATCAAGAAATTGATGAGTTTTGGAAGGATTCTAACGCTAAGTACGTACATCCACCTATCCGTCCTTTTGCACTAAGTAAATATATACCCAAAGATTTGACAATAACTGATTGCTTTTATTCCAAACAGAACTACACTCCCAGCGATGCTTGAAGCAACATGATCTCGATAGAATTCAGGCATTGACTCTTGAAAGAGGAAGAGGCCGTGAGGAAAAGATGAGACCATGATAGACAATATCCATACTTGGACAAGTCTGACAATGCTGAGCCGGTCATTACACAGTCGGTCATGCACAGTCTAAGCTAGTCTTGGCGTCATTCACAGATTGGAAATACCGCCACGCTCGACCTAAATCAGTCAGATTATGAGTCACTGTTATCCGTTATGGCTGTACAGTGCTTGGACTAATCTACTCTTTCGCGTTATGCTGGGTGGGGATCATTGAAGCCTCCCGTTATTGAAAAGAGAAGCATGTCTACTTCAACTCGGGTGGGAAATTGCTTGCATTGTTCATTTATGTCTTGATCGAACAAACGAATTAATAGTAGCCGATTCAATCTTTGAGACGTGTTTCTTCGCTTTGAAAAATGGCAGAATCAACCATGGATTTGACCAATCGTCCCCGAACTCGCCAGAGAGCGTATAAGCAGCCACCAACTCTCGACGTTCCTGACATCGACCAAGATGCTGCGGAAAGAAAAAGGGTTCTGAATGTGTTGGCTCAGAGAAGATATCGTAAGTGACCACTCTCAACCGAGAAGATTTTGTAAAAGTAATTCCTAACAGCTCTGCAGGTGAAAAAAAGCGATTGAGTCGTCTCAAAGCCAAGTCAACAAGCAACGATGTGACTCAAAATTCAGACCCAGAACCATTTCGCAATGTTAATGGAGAGCCATTTGGAGACGATATCATTGAAATTCCGAGAACGGTGCAAGACGATGCGCAGTTCAGCAACCAAGCTGCCAGCATGTTCATGCCAACAACCACCGGCGATGCTGCTGACATGTTGGCTGGGCTTGATTTCAGTCTGACATCGTTGAGTCCCCTTTCAGAAATGGCACTTCCATCTGTTTTGCCAGATGTCAACATTCTTCCAGAATTTTTATGCGAAGAAAGCAATAGCGATGAAGCTTCAGCAGGAGCTTCCAGAGGATTAACGACACATTTTGACGGGCCTGATCTAACCACATTCCTCGATACACCCTCATTCAGCACTTCGCCTGCTGCCTCAACAGAGAGCTTCCCTGACAGCTACAACCTCCCTGTGCTACAGCTCGCGCTGCTCAAGGGCGTTATACTCATCGCAGATCGCCTCAATTGTAAACAAGGTCTGTGGGATCTGGATGGAATTTCGGCTTTTGTCACAGGCGTTGCGACGCCAGCAGCTTTGCTCCCTGCAAACTGGCGGCCTACTCCTCTACAAAGCTCGTTGCCGCACCATCCAGTGTTTGACCTTCTCCCATGGCCAGGCGTCCGAAACCGCGTCATTTCCATTCTATCATTACCTGATGAGTTGCGGCCACCGAGGGCCCGGGGCGAGCTAGCATGTGTCAACTTTGCATACGACCTGGAAGACACGGCTGAGGGAGTCCGGATCCATGGTGAAGACCCGTATGACCCTGGAAGTTGGGAACTGGGGCAGATTACATTCGAGAGGTGGTGGTTCCTTTTCGATAATACTATTATCAACACAAGTAATCGATGGCGAAGGGCGAGAGGGGCACCACCATTGCTTCGTAGAAGTGATGAGAGTTCTAGTAAGAACTCGAGTTCAAGTACATCACCAGCCATGAGTGTTTAATCACGTTGTTTTTTATTTATTTAGCATTTTTGTTTTAGGATTTACTATCAAGCAAGTTTTGTTCATAGGATGTTTTCGTATAGACAGATAAAGAAACTCAGTCAAAAGAACGAATACGAGTTTAACGTCTCGCGTGAATACAGGGTAGTGGTAAGGTATTGACTCGCTCACAGACCGGTCTGACAATGACGCCCATCAGCGGCTCAGCGTGGGGATCTGGGCATGATTGGTGCAGCTACTAGACCCTTGCTCCGAAGCAGGGGACAGAATGGCTGCAAGCATCAAACAGAGTGGGATGTTTTACACGGGCCGAACCATACAGAAGCAATCATGTCTGCAGTTTACATGGCTCAGTGCATATTCAGGTAACTAGCAGTAAGCTTCAAGTGTTGATTACCTTGACCGAAAGATCAGTTACCTAGTCTACAGAGTGCCACCGGTCCAGGTATAGAGAGAGGCGACCTAGCATGATGGATCCATTTTGGTCGTCCATGACTCTTCCACTGGGCTGAATATTCTCTGAGCTTAAAAAAACATTGGGGAGAGTTGTAGCAGGCTAGGGGCCCTATCTTAGCGGGCAGCCTCACTGGGCTCCCCCCCGACAGCCCGAGTCTCTCGGCCTCCGGTACCCGGTAACGGCGCTGGAGTCAAAAGTCAGTGTCGCCATATTCAACCAATCGGCAGTCAGTATCTCAACATCGGAGGTAAAAACGGAACCCCACTGGGGGAGTTTCTGGAGGAAGGAGGGGCACTTTGGAGGCCAGGAGAGAAATTTACAGGAAAGATGAGCCCGGTGGAAGGAACAAACAAACGTGGGACACTTTTCTCACCGGACTTTGTTCTTTTTCTTTCTCTCTTCCCTTCTCTCCTCGTTTTTCTACCTTTGTCATTTATCTCCCTCGATATATATAAAATCGACCATTCCATTATATCACTGGAAACCCGTCCCTCGTCGACTTACACTTGGCGTCTCTAAACCCCTGGTTCACCTGCTGCTGCTTCTCATTCAACAGATTGAGAGAGGTTCATTGAAACGTTGATCAATTAAAACAAAGATCATCGCTTTCACCGCTCGTCTGGAGTTGCAGCGCAAACAAAAAACAAACCCTTTTATTTTTTTGTCCTATTAAAACAATAGACTTTGTAAGTTGTCATCAACGTCATCCCAACCAATGCTCCCGTTCCCAATTTCTCTTTACTAATAGATAGGTTCCTGGTCATAGTTGCCGTTGCAGTTCCCCTCCCCCACATCTCCCCAGACTACAATACAAGCTTCGACCCGCCACGACCATCGCCCTACGCCGCCTTTTTTATTATTGTCAATTTTGCTTAACTCCCAGGCAAAATACAACCACGAGTCGTTACACGGGCCTTAGATACAAGAGAATCTTTTGTAGATTACCTCCATCATGCATATCAAGGATATGCTCCACGACGCCGAGAGGAGCGGCCAGCCCTCCTTCTCTTTCGAGTACTTCCCCCCAAAGACCGCTCAAGGTGTCCAGAACCTTTACGATCGTATGGATCGCATGTACAACCTAGGTCCCAAGTTCATCGATATTACATGGGGAGCTGGTGGTCGCATTGCTGAACTCACCTGCGAGATGGTTCTCCAGGCTCAAGCTGTTTACGGCCTCGAGACCTGCATGCACTTGACTTGCACTGACATGGGCGTTGAAAAGGTCAACGACGCTCTACTCAAGGCGTACAAGGCCGGCTGCACCAACATTCTTGCCCTCCGTGGTGACCCTCCCCGAGCTCAAGACAAGTGGGAGGCTGCAGACGGAGGCTTCCAGTATGCCCGCGATCTTGTCAAGCACATCCGCAACACCTATGGCAACCATTTCGATATTGGCGTTGCTGGTTACCCAGAGGGTTCCGACGACAACAAGAACGAGGATGAGCTACTTGACCACCTCAAGGAGAAGGTTGATATGGGTGCCACTTTCATTGTCACCCAGATGTTCTACGATGCCGACAACTTTATTCGATGGGTTAAGCGTGTTCGTGAACGTGGTATCACCATCCCTATTCTTCCTGGTATCATGCCAATTGCAACTTACGCAAGCTTCCTCCGACGAGCCAACCATATGCAAGCCAAGATCCCACAAGAGTGGCTCGACGCCCTTGAGCCCGTAAAGAATGATGATGTTGCTGTCCGAAATATTGGAAAAACCCTGGTTGCCGATATGTGCCGGAAGTTGCTCGCCAACGGCATCCATCACCTCCACTTTTATACCATGAACCTTGCCCAGGCGACACGAATGCTACTGGAGGAGCTTCAATGGGCCCCCAGTGCCGAGCGACCTCTTCAGCATGCTCTTCCTTGGAAGCAGTCAAAGGGACTTGGCCGCCGCGAGGAGGACGTTCGTCCTATCTTCTGGCGCAACCGCAACAAGTCCTATGTCATTCGCACACAAGACTGGGACGAGTTTCCTAACGGTCGATGGGGTGATTCTCGTTCTCCCGCTTTTGGTGAGCTGGATGCCTATGGCATTGGCTTAACGGGTTCCAACGAGGCGAACCGAAAGAAATGGGGTGAACCCAAGGCTATCCAGGACATTGCTGAACTTTTTGTCTCTTACCTCAATAACAAGATCGAATCCCTGCCATGGAGTGAATCTCCCCTGACCACAGAAGCCGATGAGATTAGAGAGGACCTCATTGAACTGAACAAGCGTGGACTTTTGACCATCAACTCGCAACCCGCTGTCAATGGTGTCAAGTCCTCTCACCCCATCCACGGCTGGGGCCCCGACAACGGTTACGTCTACCAAAAGTCGTATCTCGAGTTGCTTGTCCACCCTAGTGTTTTCGACAAGATGATGTCCCGCATCGAGAACCACCCTGACCTGACCTACTATGCTGTTACCAAGGATGGCGAACTTCGATCCAACGTCACTTCTGACGGCCCTAATGCCGTTACCTGGGGTGTGTTCCCCGGTAAAGAGATCGTTCAACCAACCATTGTCGAGAGCATCAGTTTCCTTGCATGGAAGGACGAGGCATTCCGACTGGGTGTCGATTGGGCGCACTGTTACGACATCAGCTCCCCTAGTCGTGCCCTTCTTGAAGGAGTCATGAATGACTGGTACCTGGTCAATATTGGTAAGCAGTCTAGATTTTCAACGAACTGATTCAACTGAGAACTAACGAATTGTACAGTTAATAACGATTTCCATGACAACAAAACTATCTTCGAGCTTCTTAAGGGACTCGAGGTTAATGACTTGACGACTCCTGCGACTCCTCTCGCCGAGCCCATTGCTAATGGTGCTAATGGTGTTAATGGTACTGCGGCCACTGCCGTTGCGAACTGAATGCTCACTCGCACTGCATCGATGCAGCGGGTCGTAAATATGCACAACATCTGACCCCGATTGCATCTGTGCCACAGCTACATGGCGCTCGGGATCTTCTGGACGTCGCTGTGCCTTTTCTTCCAATTTTAACGATTTGATTTCTTTTCTTTTTTGATTTACGGGTTTGGGTATAATAGCATCACCGCGGTTTCTTTTTCAACAAAAAGTTACCAGGGATACGGGGGCAGCATTTTAAAAAGGCGCACGATACAGATAAAAATCACCCGGCGGGCGCAGACGACTTTATGTTTTGGGGGCTTGCTTTGCTTGTTCTATATCTCAACGATACCCCGCCAGCAAGGCCTTATGGATGGATGAATGCATGATTAAATTTTGTTTTTTTCTCTCGGTCGATTATTTTCGCTCCCCGGAATAGGGGAAAGCGATCCAAAGAGAGTGGAGGATATGGGAACAAGGAATCTTGAGGAGCGCAACTCGCATTGGTAGTTCAAAGTAACTTTCAGCCATTGCAGTTAATCAGAGCCAATAATTGACTTGACATCTAGCCCTTGTTGGGCTATGATCACCTCCCATAATTTGAATCTCCGTGAGAACTATGCCTTTGCTAGTGACTCGAATGAAGTGTCTAGAATGCCTGGGGGCCCAGCTGTCCGTTTATATTTACGTACAAGGGTTACTGTGGCCCAATGTGAATTATCCTGTCTCTGGACCATTGTATACAAACATTTCTGTCCCTCTTCACCATGCATCCTCCTCCGCCACTTCGTAATCCATATTTACTGCCCTATCCTCAGGCTGTGGCTCAGCACTTCTCTCTCGCTTAGGCTGGTCATCAAAACCCGCCATGGCATCATCTTCTTTGTCGTCTCCACCATCGCCCGGCCCATCGTCGTTGCTCCTCGTCTTAACAGGCGGCAGAGGCGTGCTTACCCATGCAAGTTCCAGGCGACCCTCAACTCCGGGCAGGTCCTTGCCATGAAGACTGTAATAGAACTTCTCTGCCGTTTTGCGGTCCTGAAAAGAGACGTGTGTGACTTTAGGACCTGTGTCAACTGACTCAAATTCGCCCAGATTCTGTCAAATTTGTTAGCAGCATGACCTATAATCATGAAGGGGGTTCAACATACAAGGAGGAAGTGACGCAGCATCTCATCCTTGTCAGGCGCCGTGAAATCCACGCCTTTGATAGCGAGCTTCTTGGGTCGGTTGTCGATTGAGTATTGTGCGTACGCAGCGTGCATGTTTCCTCCGCTTCCACCTCCACGACCCCTGTAACTTCCTCTTCCTCTGGGAGCGAAGCCCCGACCACGATAAGTTCCTCGGCCACGGTAGCCACCGCGAGGATGCCAAGATGGACTCGCGTCCTCCTCAGCGTTAGGGTCAAGGCCAAGCAGCTTAGCCTCTCGCTCAAGAGCTGCAAGTTTGGCACGCAGCATATTTGTTCCTGATGAACCTCCTTCTCCTTCTTGGCCTTTCTTGCCAGCGAGTCTTGCCTGGAGTTTCTCGTTTTCCTCGCGGTGACGTGCAAGGAGATCATGATGTTGCTTTTCTATCTCTTGTCGCTTTTGCTCTATCTCGGCGCGCTTGGCCTCGCGCTCATGGTGTTTTCGTTGCTCCTCTTCTTGTTTTCGCTGGAACTCCTCCATGTCGATTTCGGGCTCTTGTTCATCTTCTTCTGTCGCCATTGGGTCGCCGGACCAGTTCCCTCCCTGCATTGGTGCCGAAGGTGGTAGCGCGTCGGCCTTGTCTTTGTACCAGAATACCTTCACAAATCGGTTGTCGAATATCACTTTCGGTGATTGATATGCCGCATTGGCTGGCCCCCATTTGTCGTATTTGACAATTGCCAAGTGCTTGTATGGTTGCATAGAAACCTCCTGAATATTACCGAATTGAGAGAAAAACTCGCGCACTTGGTCCTCGCTGAAACTCTCTTCAGGTATATTCTCAATAACGATGGTGCTCTTGGATCGATCATGATTAGGTCCGTCAGCAGAAAAAGGAGCTCGCGCGCCACCCTTCTTGGAGCCACGGCCGCGACGACCTCCTCGCCCACCACGGTTGGCATCAGGCGGAAATGACCAAGGATTCATAGAATTGGGTGCGTTTGCTAACATGGTGAATGGATCGTTAGGATCGTACTCTACCAAATATGTATTAGCCAAACGAACAAGGAGATACCACAAGATAGACTTACCATCATTACCTGAAGGCATAAATATTGACTCGTTTCCATGGTCGTAGGGGCATGTGCTTCCACGAGAACAGAACCCTTTGGTATCGAAATCGCGGCATCGGCCTCTTTTTCGTGACTGGCTCTTACCGCCAAAGCCCTGTTGAGGAAAGTTGGGCATGCCTGGGTAGGGGATTCCCATGGAACCCATCTGTAGAAAAGCCTCCATGACTTTGGGATCGAAGGGCATATCGGGTCGCGGAGGCAGGTTGTGCATGAACCCACCAGCATGTCCTCCCCTCATATCATCACCTCGTCCTCCGCGCCCGCCTCGACGAGCCTGTTTCTGTGCGCGACCATCCTGATTGAAGGCTTCGTACCCGGATTGAGGATCGTATTCTTCGCGATCGTGATAGCCCCTCTTTTTCGATCCATTTGGCGGCGAGGTCTCGGCGAACGGTTGTTGTATTGTTTCTGGCTTGACGCCAATCTTTGGAGCTGGAGGAGCGCCAGGGAGGTAGGATTTGTATGCGATGGCTTGGAAAACGTCGTCGAGAAAGGCTTTTGGGTCTATTTTATAAGGCAGTTAGCTTCTGGCACTATACAATGGCCAATTGCTTTGGAAAGCAGAGCAGCATTACATACCTTCGCTCAAAAAGTCTGGAATTTCTTGTTCGCAGAGCTTCCGCACCGCGTCTGCGTCACCATCGTGTTTTAGAAGAGCAATGACGTACTCAGCGAGGACATCAGCATCGGCATCAGAACTGTTTTATGAATGTTAGCGCAGTCTTTGACGCGAGCGTTGCTCAAGGGGAAATCAGGCAACGGACGTATCCTCAATGCGCTGGACGATCCACGCCTTGAGCAGCAGCGCATCCTCTTCGGGAAACAGCATAGCTCGAACAACGCGACTATTCCGACAGACCTGTATTCGGAATGCGCCTAGCAATGTTGAGTTTGTATATTGGATTAATGTTGCGAGGTTGAGATTGGAATTTTTTGGGGCCTGGTGGCCGGGGTCTCGCGTTGTCACAAGCTACTAAACTTGGAGAAACGGTCAAGGTCTAACAATTTAAAAGCTATCTGTACAACTTTAAATTGTGATGAAAACGAAACGTCAATACGGATAGAATTGATGAGGCATGATGGTCACTGAAAGGTCAGAAGCTATTTAATGCACGTTGGAGCTATCATCTGCTTTCTTGAACCCGCCTGCCACTACAACGCCCAATTCCTTCCTCGTCGTTGGTCCGTACTCCATAAATACAACAAATCATTATAATGTTAAAAGATAGCACTCATTTCGTTCACTGGCTACACAACGGGAAAAGCTTCTTTACAATCACGGCATCCAAAAGATACAGACATCATATGAACTTCAATCTAACGTGTTTCAACTCATCAGATACGACATAACTACATAAAAACTGGATTGAGCTGCTCCTTGGCATTCAGCTTCAACTCAGTCACTCGACTTTTCTTTTTTTGGTTTCCGCTTAGCATGCCCCTCCTGAGATCATCAAGGAGCTCCTCCATGGAATTAGGCATGCGTCCCAAATCTTCGTTACCAGCCGATTAATTTTGCGTGTCCATTGTGGCACGCTTCGTGGTTCGTTCGGCACATTAAAAAAAAGCCGTTTACAGCTTGTCGTAGTACTATCATTGCAAGTTAGCATATCCGTCGCATTTCTAACAATCAGGGTAAAACTTACGTTCTCGACACCAGGAACGATCTCCTTGACACCCTTGCGCTTTCGCATGGTGGTGACAATGGCGCCGACCTTGCTGGTAGGGTCGAGAGGAGAGCCACCGGGGAGGATCTGCCAGTGGTCGAAGACGGACTGGGGGAAAGCCTGTCCAGAGGTGGCCTGTCGGAGATCTCCGTTGAAACCGAAAGACTCGAGAATGGGGAGGTAGGCCTTGATGTTGAAGAGAGGAGTACCAGGGCGCTGCTCCTCGCTGAAGACGTGGCCACGTCGTCGGGTAAGGACACCGTAGACACCACCCATGGCGTTCTCGGGGACCTGGATCTCGACGAGGTAGACGGGCTCGAGAAGAGCGGGCTCGGCGAGAAGAGAGGCAGCGTACAGGACACGGCGGGCAGTAGGGATGATCTGACCACCACCACGGTGAATGGCATCGGCGTGGAGGGTAACATCGAGGACGTTGAATCGGCAAGATCGCATGGGCTCCTCAGCAACGGGACCCTCACGGGTAGCCCACTGGAAACCGGAGACAACGGAATCCTTGATTTCGTTGAGGTACTGAACCGCCTTGGTCTGGTCGACCAACAGGTTAGCACCAGTGCCGTCGGGACCGAAGGTCCAGATCTTTCGGGCGTCGGTGACATCCCAGCCAAAGTCGTCAGCAAGGACACGGGCACGAGCCTTGAAATCGTCACGGGCGCTGACCTTGCCACCCTCGATGGCAAGAGAAAGCTCCTCGTCGATGGGCTCAGCAACCATGTACAGACGGTTGTGCTTGTTGGGAGACTTGGACAAGGCAGTGATGCTGGACTTGGTGGTGACAGTCTCTCTGTACTGAACGACAGGGTCGGAGATGATCAGAGGAACACCAGCGTGGTCCTCCTCGAGATCCTTAAGGCAAATCTCGAGATGGAGCTCACCAGCACCGGCAACGACGTGCTCACCAGACTCGGAAGTCATGGTAAGGACACAGGGGTCGGACTTGGAGAGACGCTTGAGACCCTCAACAAGCTTGGGGAGATCCTGGGCGTTCTTGACCTGGACGGATCGCTGGACGACAGGGGAGACGGAGAACTTCATGACCTTGAGGTTGTGGGCGGTCTCGCTGGTGGTGAGGGTACCGGACTTGAGAAGGAACTGGTCAATACCGACCAGACCAACAATGTTACCGGCAGGCATGTCGTCGATGGGCTCGACCTTGCCACCCATCATCAGGACAGTACGCTGGATAGCCTTGATGAAGAGATCGTCCTTCTTTCCGGGGACGTAGTTGGGACCCTGGATACGGACCTTGAGACCGGATCGGACGGTACCGGAGAAGACACGACCGAAAGCGTAGAATCGACCCTTATCGGAAGTGGGCACCATCTTGGAGACGTAGAGCATGAGAGGACCCTTGGGGTCACAGTCTCGGATACCAATGGCGGCCTCGTCATCGATGGGACCCTCGTAGAGAGTCTCGGCACGGTAACGCTGAGCGGTGGCAGGAGAAGGAAGGTGGAGAATCATCATCTCGAGGAGAGAGTCAGCAGCGGGAAGGAAGGTTCGCATAACAGCCTTGAGGAGCTGCTTGCCTTCCTTCTCACGGTCCTCAGCGTTGAGCTTGAGGTTGAGCTTCTCGAGGAGAGTGGCGGTCTCCTCCTTCTTGAAGTTCATGACAGCGGAGAAGATCTTGAAGATGGGGTCGAGGATAAACTGGTTGAAGGCACGCTCGAGCTGCTTACCCTCGTGAGTACCGTTCTTGGTCCACTTCTTGGTCTTGGGGTTGAAGTAGTTGTCGCCCCAGAGACGCTCCATCATCTTGTTCTTGTCAACACCGAACTTCTTGGCGTATCGGACAGCGAACTGGCGGACGGTGAAAGCCCAGCCGTGCAGACCGGAACCGAAGGCGACGGTACCCTTGTCAGGGTAGACCTGGATGTCACCAATAGACTTGTCAAGGTAGGTGGAGATGATGACGTTGACGGACTCGATGGTTCGAGAGAAGGACTGGTAAAGATCCTCCTTGGAGACCTGGAGCTCGAGAAGAGCACGGTCGACCTTGTTGATGATGATGACGGGCTTGATGCGCTCACCAAGGGCCTGTCGGAGGACGGTCTCGGTCTGGACACAGACACCCTCGACAGTGTCGACGACGACAAGAGCACCATCAGTGACACGGAGAGCAGCAGTAACTTCGGAAGAGAAATCAACGTGACCGGGAGAGTCAATGAGGTTGATAAGGAAGTCCTTTCCGTCGGTCTTCTGGCCAACAATGTCGGCAACGTCGTCGTCCTCGCCAAGCTGACCGTACAGGGAGATGGCAGTGGACTTGATAGTGATACCACGCTCCTGTTCGTCGGCACGAGTATCGGTAGCTCGGGCATCACCAGCCTTGGCGGTGGAAATGATACCGGCCTTGGCGAGAAGAGAGTCGGTCAGGGTAGACTTGCCGTGATCGACGTGGGCAATAACGGACATGTTACGGACATTGGTAGGCTTGTCCATAAGCTGCCGAATCTCGTCAATGGTGAAGCTGTTTTGGGTGAAAACATGGCGGTTAGCTAATGGTCACGGAGGGAGGGCTTAAATCCGAGCGGGGTATAGTGAAGAGGGACGAGTGTAGTGACGATGATAGAAGAGCTCATGATGGTGATGATGATATTGTTGTTGCTATCTGTGGTTGAGGAGGACGGATGATACTCACTTAACCATCTTGGCGGTATTGTCTGGATAACTTGACTATGTGTGTAAAGTCGAAGTTGTTGTATGTGGGAACAGAGCGGGGTTGAAGTTTTCACCCCGCGATCTGAGCCGCAGAAAAAGGGAAGAAGCAAGAAGCGATTGCCGTCAAGAAGATGGCAACGATTCAAGTGACGATGTAAGAGAGACGAGTTCCGAAAAAGAACCACTGTCACTCTTTATGCGTCCCTTTTTGGAGATGAAAGGTTTGGAAGAGAGGAGGAGGAGGGAAGGGAAGAAAAGAAAAGAGAGAGAAAAGTCGAGCGGGGAGAAGTAAGGTAGGTAAGGTATCAAGATTCGTTCGGCGAGACGCCTACGGCAGCACCCAAGGATGGATGGCCCCACTGAGCGGCAGGGAAGAAAAAAATTTGGACAGTGGGCTCTGCATTTTTGGTGGGGCAACAGCACCCCGCTGCACATGTTTTCCGCCGCCCGCTGAAGGATCAGACGCTCCAGGCCCTCTTGGATAGGCCCATGAGTCCGCTAAAATTTTGAGGTGGCCTGCTGAGCTACAATTGCCCAGGTTCACAAAGGTTAGCTCCCTTCCGCAGGTTCATTGCCACAATCGGTTGCAGTTGAGTGATGGCATCCGCACAAAGATGGAAATTGGAGGGTTGCTGCCCTGGGATCGCAAATCACCACTGAACCTAGAGGGGTGGACAAGGTGGGCTGGTGCTGGTGCTGCCCCTCCATCCCCCTCCCCCTCCTACCTAGGTTCCATCAGTCCCTGCACAAAACCAGCGCTGGGTACTAAGGTAAAGTACGTACATCATCAACCTAGCCACAGGTAGCTCTGGATCAAAGTACCCTCAAGCTATTTACAATTAATATACTTCTATTATCTTGATATCAATTCGAGTCCTTTCCTTGGTACTGCAGATATGGATATATCAGAATGGGCATGGCAGAAATATGGCGTCTCAAAAGATTCTCCATACTAGACCCAGTCGCCTAACCAACCTCACGTCACAAATGGAGGGGGTCAGCTTTAAAACCGAGTCTTTCCCCTCCTCAAAGCCATTCGAATTTAGTTATGAGTGACCTCTATGACGTGCATGTACGGTAAGTACAACAGCATTGTCTGCACCTTGCCCTGTAGTACGGATAACGGGTAGGAAAACCTACCTTTTCTAGAGTAAATAGCACTCTTGGTATGAGACATTCTTTCTCCTCTTTTATCAATTCTACCATTTCTCGCTCACTGCTACTACTTCTTTGCGTCCTCGCCTTTCCCGTGGCCGCATTAGGTTACAAATGTCCGAAGTGGGCTGTAGCTGGAGCTGGAGCTCTAAAAACCCCTCTTTGCTCGTCTCAACAAGTGACAATCCACCACCATCAAGTTTTTGTACTCTTTAGTGGAGAATGCACACGAATAGTACCTAGTCGATCAATTCTCTCTCGTACCGACTATCACCTCAAAACCTACCTCAGACCACCAAAGTTACTCGTAAGAGCTTGTAGCTCACTC